ACTACACACACTTCTTCTTTCTACCTGGTTTTGTTTCGGTCAAGTGTGTTCACAACGACCGAAGAAACGAGGCAACAATTAACAAATAGAGAAGCCTTGACTGTGCTCTGTTCTGTTTTAAAGCGCGCAGGAAGCGGCTAGAGCATTCAAGAAATATAGGGAGAAACACGAGACCTAGTCGAGTGTTTCTCCCCACTTCTTGAGTACTCTAACTGCTTCCTAAGTGCTTATAAACAGAACAGAGCAGAGTCAAGGCTTCTCTATTTGTTTTATAATAAAGAATCCGTTAAATTTCCCAAGCAAACTCCCAAGCATTACCTTCAATTTTCAAAACAAACTTTATTTCCAAAGCGAACAACAGTGTCGTCAGCATGCTCTCTACTCTCATAAAGCACGCTGCAATAAGCCAATCAGAATCCCTGTTAGAATGGTTCAAATAATCTGATTGGCTGTACAGGACTAAAGCTGTCAAAAATGTCAAGCCATCAAAGTTAAAAACCATCAAAGTTCACATTCTACAATAGTTTAAAAACTTGAATAGTTCGGCAGGTCGAATTTAACACTTCTGCCTGAAGTTTTTTAGTCTCTAATACAAAATCTGAAAGTGAAATGCTAATTGAAACTCGGCAGAATTGTGACTCATAAAAAACACGCAAGTTTTTTCCCATGACAAGTAGAAAAGCAGTTCAAGGCGGGTGTTTTATGAGTGAACTTCAGCCGAATTCACCGAAACATAAAGATCACTCGGGATGACAGCGCCGTGACACTTGGCTGCAGTGACTGATGTGGCCTTCCACTCAATACATCGGAAAGGATATCAGAGCGAGCTCTAATTTTTTCACTCGAAGGGCAGCCGATGTAGTTCCTGAGGCTTGCTTCACTGCGATGACCAAAGATCGCCATGATGAGCTAGCCGCTGTGGACCTCAGCGTGATCGCACTCGCTCTGACAGTATGAATTAGTATGAATTTTAACAGTTATGCCAGTTTGGTGATATTTTTCATCATTACTGTTTTGTTCTGTTTTGTTTTTGATTACGAAACTTCACTTGCCATACGAGTGTTAGCTGTGTTTGATTTTTATTACCGTACATAAGCTTGCCATCTAACTAAGCATGAAAACCTCTAAAACTCGGACCGTCCATTTCGTTTTCTCCTTGAGGATTTTCGTCTCTGCTCACGTTATAATAACGTAAATTACGGCGCCTGGCCTTTTTAAAAACCTTTGTTTGGTTCTTCTGTTGCTACTTGCCGGCTCGCTTGTTCCGAAATTTCACTTTCAATTAACGAAAAGAAGCCAGAGAGAAGTCCCGGAAAAGGTCAAACATAGTACAATTTGGCAGATGGCGTGACAGCTTTAGCTCAGCTCTTAGCTCTATACCCTCATAGAGCACGCTCTTTCAACCAATGACAGCACGCGTTATATCCGAAATTTATTATAAAACGTTATATTAAACAGAGAAATTATCGTTTTCATTCACCTAAATTTTTTTCTTTCCACAGTAATTAGGTTTGCGATGATACCTTTGCTTCGTGGTACATCGTTTCTTATTATTTGGTTGCTTACGAGGAATCATCAGGGTACCTCTGCTACACAAGGTTGGCTTACTTTTCTGATTTGTTTTCAGTTTCTACCAGTAACATTAAGGTTATTTTCTTATCACTATCCAAAGAAAATTTGTGCTAAGTGTTGAGCCACATATGTATCGCCATGTTAACTTTAGAGAGAACAAAAGGGCCTCTAAAACAAGTCTGCGAATCGAATTTTAAACAAATGATATTGGAGGATTTAAAAATCGTGAAAATATTTCAAGATTCATATTTCTTTTGTCAAAGAAAAGATTTGGAAAAGATTCAAACATAAAGTGTGGGATTATTTACGAGGTTAGTTTTTCCTCTATATCCTCTAATACTACACCTCATCCGTTCACGGAAATCAACTCACACGGGTTTCTGAGATGTGACTCGAGCAAGTTTGGCCTATTTCTTTGAGAGTTGATGAAAAATCATTTGTTTAAAACATGATCAAGCTAACGCTAACCAGCGGTATTTTTCTTAGTGAATGCACTACGGGCTTCGCGTTGTCTTTCCTCGAGTTTATGAAAAAGCATCTGTTTCCGTTGTCTTTTCTCAAAAATCACACAAGTCACATCATCCATCGACTGATAGTTCTCGTTGAAATTAGAGGTAAGGAGGAAATCCAGAAAAGAAGAACTGAAAAAGTAGGAAATATGGATAAAATTAATTCACTTTTAACTTGATTATGCAATTAACCAATGCGGCTTAACACATAACATGACAGGAGTTATTGAAAACTGATGTCCACGGACGTGAACTATTATAAATCATATTTTCCCTTCTTGTTTAAACCTTATTAATAGTATACAACACACGTCCAATAGATTATTTGTTGTTCTTTTAGGTTGTGGTTCCTTGAGAAACAACTCACTACAGAGTCCTAGATATCCAAACAAGTACCCAAGAAATATGGATTGTGTATATCAGATTGCCATTCCTCAAGGCATGGCTATGAGGATTTATTTCGAAAAGTTTGAGCTGGAGGATTCGTTGGAATGCCGGTTTGTAATGTTTTAACTCGTCTAGTTGATTGATATAACTTTATTTAGAACCAGGCACTTGATTCTTTCAAGTTTGACTCTTTTTATAGGAGCTATGACAAACAGTTAACGATTTGTGCCTCCGGAAACAGGCAGTTTCGTTTCATGAGAATAGCAACGTTTTCCGAGGCACAGCAGAGGAAAACATTGAAATTTAGGAGAAAATTGCTATTTGTTGATTAGGTCAGACAAGGGGCATTTTCTCTTTCTCACACCTGAGGAGACTTTTGGTATTTAAAAAGGCCTGATTAGTTTGATCCTACACAGCTAAAAGTTGCGTAGCAACGAAAGGTTATGTTTAGATTCATAAACAGGAAACCGCAATTTCTCTCGAAAAATTGAAGATTAGGCTCAACTTCATTTTAAAGTTTTACAAAACTTCGAAAATAAACGTGAAATTAATCCTTAATTGCACATTCGTTCACGCAATTGCATCTACAAGTTGTCAATTTATTGGTGAATTAAATGTCAGCGCATAAGAGCGCAAGACGCTGCAATGATGAAAATTTGTATTTTACTGTTTGATTGTTTGTTGTCTTTAATAATCATTTGGTTTCTCAAGACCGGCAACTTCTTGTTGAGAAAAATCAACAAAACGTGATGCAATGTTGCCCTCACGGAGACTTTTAACCGGAAACAGTTTCATAATGTCATCGCATGTCCCCCACAGTATGCAATGAGGGCCTGCACTGATGGGATTCAATTTCAAGACTTGCATATTCTCATACATTCAACCGCAGACAGATCACACCATGTGATCGTGGTTAATAATTGTTGACGTGAGACGAACGAAATCTAATATGGTTATGGATAAAGCTCTGAAAACTGCGTATCTAAATTATATCTGAGTCCGAATATCTGAATAAAGTTAAATGAAATGTTCATAGACGAATTTATGATATTTTGTAGCCTTTATGGGCCGTTTGAAGCATCTTTTTACAAAATTACTTTTGGCCGGAGGCCGCTTGGAGAAGAAGGGGAGACAAGGCTTGCAACTTGATGGCCGCCAGTTATGACCTCCTCCACTCTAAACTGGAGCTAACGCCAAAATACAGAAAATATCTTCCAATTAGTAACGATTCTTGATCCATGAGGTGTTTTTCTATCTTTTCACCGAGTTTGAGCGTCATCCCTCCAACTTTTTCCAAGAAAATCGATCCTGAAATGAGGAGTATAGCCTTCTTTAATATGATCGGTGCCAAATTCAGCGACCAAAGGAAAAGCATGCAGACCGTACCGATTCAGGTTACCAATCAGCGCTTGACTTGGTTTTGAACCGCGATGGGCTTTTACGGGAAGTTGCTGCATCAGGGCAACATCTCATCGATCAACAACCATCGCTAATTAGGAGAGATTTTCTGTGGTTTAAAATTAATTCCGGTAGGAGTGGAGGACGTCGTAGCTAACGGCCACCAAGTTGCAAGCCTTGTCTGCCCCTCCTCTCGCAACGTCCTCCGGTCGTAAACACATTCGTTAAAAGACGTTTGAAACGGCCCATGAAGGCGAAAAACATCAGTAATGGGACGGTTAACATTTTATTTCACTTTATTGAAATATAAATATTGCATATCTAGATATGCAATTTTCAGAGCTATACTCATAACTGTCAAAGATTTTGTGCATCTCATGTCGACAAATATTAACCACGAACACAAAGTGTGGTCTGCCTGTGATTCAACCTCAATTTCTCAATCAATTTTCATGTTATCGACACTTCACCCTAGTTCGTCATTTCCTCTACCTTGTTTTTCCACATCGCAAAACAAAGGGGGATATTTTTCGAAATGCCTTTTTCAAAAACTGTTACTCACATTTCAAACTGGACCATACGCAAGATTTGGAGAAACAAACCAGATTGCTGCCCGTGTAGATATCCAATCGGATCTAAGGTTTCTTACATCTGGACAGCTGTTTCCGCGATTAGCGAGAGCAATGAACACGTCAAAATAATAGGCATATTTACAACATAAAAGTGTAGTAAACCTTACGGGGAGAAAATAACGAGTAACTCTTTAAAGTGTATCGTTTTACTTCTCCTTATCTTACAGTTTTGACTATGTAGAGATTTTTAACCAGAAGTACTGTGGAGAGAAGACTGGAAAAATGATGGAAATAAGAGGAGGCTACGCCGTGATAAAATTTCATTCAGCTTCAGATATTCAGAGAGGAAGATTCTCGCTACTGTTTACTTCTATCTTACCAAGTGTGTACAATGAGCTTTTATACTTTTTACTTATAATAAAACTAGTAATAGTTTTCATTATATCTGCCTTGCTGGTAATGATATAATAACTTTTTATAGCCTTCTAGGAGTTTTTTTTGCCCATGTGTCAGAAAATCGAGAAGGTATCATAGAATTCGCGTAAAGTCGTATCGGAAAATATCAAAATTTTGTTCTCAACTTAAGGCAACTAAAAGTTTCAGAGCCTCAATCTGTATATATCGAATATGGTGCCAACGACGAAAGCAGTCACATCACCAATTTCCCTCCCTTTTTCTCATAATTAGCTTTTGCTTTGTAAAGACCGACAATGTAGTATGTTTCCGCTGGAGGCTATCACAATAAAGAAAGTTGGAATTACCGCAATTGAAAATTGAAGTGAGCTGCTCTGACCTTGCTTTGCGTTTAGAGACTGAAATTGGCAGAAAACACCGGGAACATAATCGGACGAGCAGTAATTTGTTATTTTACCCTTTAAATGCTCTAAATTCCCACTAAAAACTTATTCTAGTAACTAATTTAAGACTTATCTGGGATTTTACTAAAGGAACTTTTGCCTATTTCTTTGAGGGTTAATAAAAATTATGGGTTTAAGTATGATCACGCCAGCATTAATCAGCGGTATTTTGCTTAGTACATGCACCGCGGGCTCCGTGTTGTCTTACCTTGACTTTTATCAAAAGTCACACGAGTCACATCATCCATCGACTGATAGTTCTAGTTGAAAATAGGGGTAAGGAGGAAATCCTGAAAAGACGAGCCGAAAAAAGGAGAAAACTTTATTTATGGTTGAGTTATTCACAATTGGTTATGCAATTAACCAATGCAGCCCAGCACATAACATGGCAATAGTTGTCGACAACTGATGTCCACAGACATAAAGTCTTTTTAATCATATTTCCCCTTCTTGTTTAAACCTTATTAGTAGCATTCAAAATATGTCCAAGGGATTATTTGTTGTTCTTATAGGTTGTGGATCCTTGAGAAACAACTCACTACAGAGTCCTGGATATCCAGACAAGTACCCAACTAATATGGATTGTGTATATCAGATTGCCATTCCTCAAGGCATGGTTATGAGAATGTCTTTCGAATATTTTGAGTTGGAAGATTCATTGGCATGCAGGTTTGTAATGTTTTAACTCGTCTGGTTGATGCAACTTTATTTAAGGCCACTGGATTCTTTCAAGTTTGACTCTCTTATAGGAGCTATAGGAAACAGGTAATGATTGGTGCCTCCGGAAACAGCTCTTTCGTTTCCCGAGAGTCGCAACGTTTTCCAAGGCAAAGGAGAGGGAAATTCCATACTTGTTGATTGAATGAGACAAGGGGCATTTTTTCTTTATCACAAAGAAACTTTTGGTAATCAAGCAGGCTTGATGATTTTGATCCTAATTATTGGTGAAGAGTTGCGTAGCAACTAAAAGTTGATTCTTACATTCATAAACAGGAAACTGCTATTACCCTCGAAAAATTAAAGATTAGTCTCATTTGCATTTTCAAAGTTTTACAAGACTTTGACAATAAGCGTGAAAGTAATTCTTAATTGCCCATGGATCTACAAATTGTAAATTTTTTGGTGAACTACATGTCAGCGCATAAGAGCGCAAGATACAATAATGCTGAAAATTTTTATAGTGCCAACCAAATCGGTCTAAAATTAAATCTCCAAACTTCAGAGAAAAAAAATTGGTAAATTCCTATAGTTACACCTTTTTTTCCCTTGCACTGGGATAAAATTAACGAGGAGTTTGTTTAATTTGTCTGTTGAAACTTATCAAAATCTTTGTCTTTTCAGGATATCTTTTTCCACAGAAAGCTTTTGATAGTTTTTGTATTTTACTGTTTGTTTGTTTGTTGTCTGATATAATCTTTTGGTTTCTCAAGACCGCCAATTTCTTGTCAAAAAAAGACTTTTGCCTGAAAAAGTCTCATTGTGTCATTGCCGGCATATCACATTTCTAACTGGACCATACTCAAGGCTCGGAGAAACAAACCAGATTACTTCACAACATTGAGCTGATCGAATCGGATTTAAGATTTCCCACATCTGGACAACGGTTTGTGCGATGACCTAGGGCAAAACAACACGTCAAAATAATAGGGCATATTTAGAACATAAAACTGTAGTAAACCTGACGGAGGGAAAATAAAGAATTACTCTTTAAATAGTGTAGTCTTACTTGTCTCTATCTTACAGTTTTGACTATGTAGAGATTTTCAACCAGAAGTACTGTGGAGAGAATACTGGAACAACAATTGAAATAAGTGGAGACTATGCCGTGATAAGATTTTATTCAGACTCAAGTGTTCAGAAAGGAGGATTCTCGCTGCTGTTCTCTACTATCTCACCAAGTGTGTACAACGGACTTTATCCTATTTTATCATAATAAAAGTAACAATAAATATCTGCCCCTGCCAGGCAACGATATGATTTTTTATTACCTCCATAGGGTGTCTTGCATAGATGCCAGAAACCGAGGAGGCATCATAGAAGTCGCCTATAATCATATCGGGAAATTTCTAAAGTTTTGCGCGCTTACTGGTATTGAGTAAATTCTTGTTAGGATCGCTATGTTTTGTGGGAAATTGTTTCAACCACGATGTCTCTGCACTTCCTTCGAGTCGCTTTTAGATAGTTTGCAGAGGTGAATATTATCCTTTCATGTATCATCTTTAATGCAAAAGTCATTTAACATTACCACTGTAGAATTATGAAAGACCATCCAATGACATGAGAAAATTTCCTTTAAACCTGTCCGAGTTTATTTCTATGATAAAAATCTTTTATCATTAAAATGCAAGGACAGATGTGGTGGGAACTTTAACTAGTTGTAGAAGAAATTCTAACAGGTTTGTAGGTGATTTTTTCATGTAGCTTGGAGTTAACGATGAAATGTTATAAAATAGCTGTGCAACAACAGAAAAGCTTTCCAGGTGATCTTAAGTAATTTTGGCAGGCGTGAGGTTACTGCTTTTGCTTTGGAAGTCGAAGAAGCCCCCGAAAGTACAAAGGAATCTTGCTTGTCTTCAATAAAAGAATTTGCTGAATTTGGCACCGATCATATTAAAGAAGGCTATACTCCTCATTTCAGGATCGATTTTCTTGGAAAACGTTGGAGGGATGACGCTCAAACTCGGTGAAAAGATAGAAAAACACCTCATCGATCAAGAATCGTTACTAATTGGAAGATATTTTCTGTAGTTTGGCGTTAGCTCCAGTTGAGACATTCAGGGGCGGTTATTTTCATGAGGTCTAACCCAAAGCACGGTTTTTCGCAATCAATGAGCCTCAGGCCCTCTCTATATGAAGGTTTATTTAATTTAAATGACGTTTCGCTGTTAGCTTTCGGTTCTCTTGACACTGTTCGCAAAAAAAATGTTCAAATAAAAGGTTCAGAAACATTGAGGATATTATAGAACGCAGTTTTGTTTAACGATGGTTGAACTTTGTTCACATAATAAGCCTTTAGTGTCCAGTTTCATGTTTGTTATGATGCATACCGTTAGTAACAGATGGTAATTCATAACAGTTGCACTTCTGCATATGTTTTTGAATTGGTTTGCATGTGTTGCCTTTCAATTGAAAAGAGCCATTGGCTTCTACGGAAAGGTTTTTCCAAAGCATCGAATTTTACAACTGTTACACTGTAATATGTATGATTATGGATTAGACGCATTTATTTCCTTCATTCCCTGTTGTTACATATGTGCTTATCTGTCTGAAAAAGAAACCAAATGTTTTCAGGCCTTTGAAGTAAATCAAAGGGAAAAGAGGGCAGCAACAGCGAGGTTGCGGTGTATGTACGAAACGATCTTGCCGTAACGAGAAGGGAAGACCTTGGATAATGTCGAGGGAATATTGTCGGAAATTACAGGGTCGAAATCACGTAGTATTCTTGTGGGCAATTTCTACCCACGTAACTGTACATCTTAGTGCTTAAAGGGGGTAAGTTTCTAAAGAAACTGTGGTGCTGCGTTGGTGGAGGAGTACAACTAGATAGTTTGGTTTTATCAGTCGAAAGTAAAGGGGGATTCTGCGGCACTAACCTCAATCTACTTCCATGAAGATCATTGTCTTTCATACTTCTGCGATCTATGAAAAGACCGAATCTGTCTCCAACATAAAATTCTGTTGCATTCATCGTGCTGTTTTCCTTTCCAAATCCTCTGAAGACCTCTTCCCACATATCTCTTGTCATCATTCCTTGACTGTAGACCTTATTTGGGATGTCTTCTCGCTGTCTCTAACACCAGCGACATATGGCTTGTAAAAAAGAAGAAGAAGAAGAAGAAGAAGTACCTTCATTAACCTTCTTGGAACACTGATGCTATCATTGATGATTGTGTCTGATCCTCCCTCTACTGAGATTGTCTTGAGATGAATGACGTGCTCGCACATGAGTATCTTTCCATTTTCGTAGTCAGACAGGGCCTGATTAATTAATCAATAACTTGATTATGCAATTAACCAATGCGGCTTAAGATATAACATGACAGTGGTTGTTGACAACTGATGTCCACAGACGTGAACTATCTTTTGTCATATTTTCCCTTCTTGTTTAAGCCTTTTTATTAGTATTCAAAACATGTCCAAGAAATTATTTGTTGTTCTTATAGGTTGTGGTTCCTTGAGAAACAACTCACTACAGAGTCCTGGATATCCGTACAAGTACCCAAATATGGATTGTGTATATCAGATTGCCATTCCTCAAGGCATGGCTATAAGGATGCATTTCGAATATTTTGAGCTGGAGGATTCGTGGGAATGCCGGTTTGTAATGTTTTGACTTGTCTGGTTGATCGATATAACTTTATTTAGTACCACTTCACTCTTTCAAGTTTGACTCTTTTTATAGGAGTTATCGACACTTCACCTTAGTTCGTCATTTCCTCTACCTTGTTTGTCTACAATAACAAACAAAGAGGGAAATTTTTTCGAAATGTCTTTTTCAAAACTGTTACTCACATTTTCAACTGGATCATACACAAGGTTCGGAGAAACAAACCAGATTGCTGCACAACGTGTAGCCATCCAATTGGATCTAAGGTTTCTTACATCTGGACAGTGCTATGCGATTACCTAAGGCAAATGAACTCGTCAAAATAATACGACATGTATTTAGAACATGAGAGTGTAGTAAACCTTACGGGGAGAAAACAACGAATAACTATTTAAAGTGTATCGTTTTACTTGTCTCTCTCTTACAGTTTTGACTATATAGAGATTTTTAACCAGAAATACTGTGGAAAGATGACTGGAACAACAATTGAAATAAGTGGAGACTATGCCGTGATAAGATTTCATTCAGACTCAAGTGTTCAAGGAGGATTCTCGCTGCTGTTCTCTACTGTGTTATCAAGTGTGTAAAATGAGCTTATACTTTTTAATTATAATAAAACTAAATATAATTCTCGATACATCTGCCCTAACTGATAATGATATAGAAACTTTTTAGAGCCTCCGAGGGGTTTTCCTGCCAAAATGCCAGAAAACTGAGAAGGTATCATAGTAGTCGCGTATAGTTGTATCGGGAAATATCCAACTTTTTTTCTCAACTCAAGGCAACTAAAAGTTTCCGAGCCTCAATCTGCATATATCGAATATGGTGTCAACGACGATAGGAGTCGCATCACAAATTTCTCTCCTTTTTTTTGCTCATAATTATCTATTTATTTTGTAAAGACCAACAATGTGGTATGTTTCTACTGGAAACTTTGCTATCGCAAGAAAGAAATTTGGAATTACCACAAGTCAAAATTAAAGTGAGCTGCTCTGACCTTCTTTTGCGTTAAGAGACTGAAACTGGCAGAAAACGCTGGGAACATAATCGGACGAGCAGTAATTTGTTATAGTTCCCTTTGAAAATCTGAATAAAATGTCCCTTATTGCAAAATGCTCCGAATCCCCACCAATAACTTATTCTAGTTACTGATTTAAGACTTATCTGAGATTTTGCTAGAGGAATTTTTGCCTATTTCTTTAAGAGATGATAAAAATTATTTGTTTAAGTACGATCAAGCCAGCAATAACCAGCGGTATTTTGCTTAGTGTATGCACAGCGGGCTCCGTGTTGTTTTTCATCGAGTTTGTGAACAAGCATCTTTTCCATTGCCTTTTACCAAAAGTCACACGAGTCACATCATCCATCGACTGATAGTTCTGGTTGAAAGTAGGGGTAAGGAGGAAATCCAGAAAGGACGAGCCGAAAAAAGTAGAAAACTTGGATAAAATTCATTATTCACAACTTGATTATGCAATTAACTAATGCGGCTCAACACATAACATGGCAGTAGTTTTTGACATCTGATCTCCACAGACATAAACTCTTTTTAATCATATTTTCACTTCTTGTATATTATTTCACTTTTTAGTAGCATTCAAAACATTTCCAAGGGATTATTTGTTTTTCTTATAGGTTGTGGTTCCTTGAAAAACAATTCACTACAGAGTCCTGGATATCCAAACAAGTACCCAAGAAATATGAATTGTGTATATCAGATTGTCATTCCTCAAGGCATGGCTACAAGAATGTATTTCGAATATTTTGAGCTGGAGGATTCGTGGGAATGCCGGTTTGTAACGTTTTGACTTATCTAATTGATCGATGTAACTTAATTTAGTACCACTCGACTCTTATAAGTTTGACTCTTTTTACAGGAGCTGTAACAAACAGTTAACGATTTATGCCTCCCGAAACAAATAATCTCGTTTCCCGAGAATCTCAATGTTTTTCTAAGGCGGAGCAGAGGAAAACATTGAAATTTAAGATAAAACTCCTATTTGTCGATTGCGTGAGACAAACTTTTGGTAATCAAAAAGGCCTGATTAATTTGATCTTAATTGGTGAAGAGTTTGGTAGCCACAAAAGGTTGAATCTGTTCCTCACATTTCAAACTGGACCATACGCAAGGTTCGGATTTAAGATTTCCCACATTTAAGCAACTGTTTGTGCAATTACTGAGGGCAAGAGGACATAATAGGGCATATTTAAAACATGAACTTGTCGTAAATTTGACGGGGGGAAAACAACGAATAACTATTTAAAGTGTATCGTTTTACTTGTCTCTCTCTTACAGTTTTGATTATGTAGAGATTTTTAACCAGAAGTACTGTGGAGAGAAGACTGGAACAACAATTGAAATTAGTGGAGACTACGCCGTGATAAGATTTCATTCAGACTCAATTGTTCAGGGAGGGGGATTCTCGCTTCTGTTCACTACTGTGTTACCAAGTGTGTAAAATGAGCTTTTTATATTTTTTAATTATAATAAAATAAGTTATAAATATATGTCCCTACCTGTATTGATATTATTTTTTCATGGCCCTAGATGCCAGAAAAACGAGGAGGCATCGTAATTGTCGCCTATAGTCGTATCGGGATAATATTTAAATTTTGCGCACTTACTAGTAACGGGTAGATTCCTATGAGGATATCGTTAGGTGTTATGGGAAATATTTTCAATGTTTCTGCGCTTCCTTTTGTGTCGCAGGAGAATATTATCCTTTTAGGTATCACCTTTAATGGAAAAGTCGTTTAACACTCTCACTTCCAAAATTATGTATCAGACCTTACAATACGCGATATGAAAAAATTTCTTTCAAAACCTGTCCAGCTGCTTTTGCTTTAAAAGTCGAAGAGGCCTCCGGAAGTACCAATCAATCTTGCTCGCCTCCGAAGCATTTGCATTCATAAAAGTATGATCAGTCAGTATAAGATGACGTAATTTTTTTCAATCCAGTGCCTCAGGCTTTCTCTTAAAGAGGGTTGATTCAATTAAATAAATTTCCTTTCACTGTTGGCTTTTAGGGCTCCTATTGATAACAGATATGCTGAAGGGATTACCCTAGTTAAATAAAGGTTTGCTACTGCTACTGCTTTCGGTTCACTTGACACTGTTCGCAAAAATAAATGTTCAGATAAAAGGTTCAGCTGATGTGAAGATTATTAGGACCCGGTTGTGTTAAACAACGGTTGAACTTTGTTGAAATAAAATGTTTGTTGTCACACATGCCATTAGTAACAGACGGCAATTCTCATAAAAGATGCTCTTGTAGATATTATGTTAAATTGGTTTGTATGTTTTGCCTCTCCATTGAAAAGAAACATTGACCTCTACGCAACAGTTATTCAGAAGCATCGAATTTTACTATTGTTACACTGCGATATGTATGATTGTGGATTAGACGCATTTATTTTCTTCTTTCCTTGTTGTTACATACAGGATATGGGTTTATCTATCGGAAATGAGAAAAACAAACTATTCTCAGGCCTCTGAAGTTAATCACTCTATAAAATTAAAACACACTTTCAGCCCAGTAATGGATGTGGGTTAATTAAATACAAAGAATGCTTATCCTTTTAACTGGTTATCATAATAATTAATTTTTTCAAAGAATTGTCATTGCGCCTAGCAGATTATTGGGTTAGGTGTGTCGTTCTCGTTCATGATTTGTGTTTGACAAATGAAAGTAATAATAATGATAATATTGATAACAACCATAATGATAATAATAATAAAACAATAGTAATAATAATAATAATAATAATAATAATAATAATAATAATAACATAGCGCTATATCTGACAGCTCATGCGGACACTTTATAACACTTTTCAGGGGACTTTGGCTAGACTGCATCGAGCAGTTAACAATATTTTTTTCTTGAGAATGCCCCCAATTTCGAAATATTTTTTTAATTATGTCCTTTATCGAAAAGAGTCTATCCAGTACAGTTTAATGAGTTTTTCTTCCAAAGAGATCAATGTCATGAAAGATATTCGCCTCTATAAATTCTGTAGGAGCAACAATAAGCAAAGCGTAGACAAGTCGTGGTTAAAAATTACCCATAACACATTGCGATCCTCTTAAGTCAATACCCGATACTACTAAGCGTGCATAACTGACGCAGAGTCGATCGATACGGTTTAGATTGCCTAGTATATTTAAACCAGGATAGTTTTGCCCACTAAATGAACATTCTGGCAACTACTATGATGCGTTCTTGGAAATCTGGCCTCTGAATTAGACGCCCTGTGGGGGCTTTTAAGGAACTAGAGGGTGTACCAGTAATGATAATTTTAGTCCAATTGGCTCATCACCATGTCTCATCCCCCCTTACAGTGTATTTGGTTAGTTGTAATTGCATTAAGTCATTTCTATTCAAGGTCCTCCCAATATTTCAATGCCAGTTCTCGTGGAGGCCTCTCCAGGCGACGAGGTGACGTGCTCAGTGACAGGAACTCATCCTATGTACACCACCATACTCAGCGACTCAAGAGTTCTGGTTAACACAACAAGCATGGCAACCTTTCGGTTTGTGGAGGAAGGAAACTACACCTGCATGGCAAGCAGCAAGTATGGGACTGATTTAAAAATGTTCAGTGTGATTTTCCCAGGTAGGCCTTAAACTGATGGTTAAACCTTTTTCAATTTGCTTCACTTTAGTTAATAGATTGCCAGGGGAAACCAACGGTAGCTATTCGTTTAAAACAAGAATCTTATAGAGTGATATGAATGATATGATAAGATTAATGACATAATCCGTAAACGTTCTGTTAAAAGTAAAAATCGAATGATTACATAAATATTCTACAGTGGTGGTTTCTTGTATCGATCTTCGCATTCCCTTCAAACCCGAGATAAAATGTCAATATTTCCTTATCTAACCTTGCTGCCAGACCTCAAAGGGTTTAAAGGTAAGAGGGTTTGTAAACTTAGTGAGTTTTTCCTGTACGTGCCTCCTCTAAGACTTTTGAATGTACCGTAATAGAATCATATCTTGATGGAGTCCGGCCGCTACGCATAATACGTTCATGATACCATATTTTCCCAGGCTACATTTAGCAGTTTCTTTTGTTGCTGCGGACTGGACGATTGGCTAGACGATCAAGTTGCTATCATTGAGTTACGTGGCTCTTGAGGCCGAAAAGAAATTCTCAAGCGGAGAAATCGGGTTTTTCTTGGTAACAATTCTTCCTTAATTTGAAATCTCGGGCTACCGGCTTTTCGAAAAAAGTGCGTAACAACGGCGGGGTTGCAGTGTATGTACGAAACGATCTTTCCGTGAGAAGAGGGGACGACCTTGGATAATGTCGAGGGGATATTGTTGAAAATTTTGGGGCCGAAATCACGTAGTATTTTTGTGGGTAATTTCTAGCTACGCAACCGTACATCTTAGTGATTAAAGGGAGTAAGTTTCTAAAGAAACTGTGGTGCTGCATTAGTGGGGAGTATAACAAGATAATTTGGATTTATCAAATGAGTTGATAATGTAACTTTGCCACCGTACGCTGTTTCTAAGCTGACGTATCGAGCGTTAGCCCTTCGTCAGAGCGAACGACAAAAGGCCAACGTTCGAAACGTTTGCTTAGAAGCTCTCTACGTACATATAAATACTACTTTAAGCTGAACAACATTTTGATACTGCTACTGCCTACGACAAAGAGATTGCAGTGAATCGTCCTTATGTATTCTAAGGACGATTCACTGTAATTACGTCGATGAATCGCCCTCAGAATATCTGTTATTTGTTTAAATGTGATTAAGCCAGCACTGACTGGCGGTAATTTGCCTAGTGTATGCACTGCGGGCTTTACGTTGTCTTTCCTCGAGTTTGTCAACAAGCGTCTGTTTCCATTGCCTTTAATCAAAAGTCACATGTGTCAAACCATTCATCGACTGATAGTTCTAGTTGAAATCACGGGTGAGGAGGAAATCCAGAAAGGACGGGCTGAAAAAGTAGGAAAGATAGATAAAATTAATTCATTTATAACTTGATTATGCAATTAACCAATGCGGCTTAAGATATAACATGACACTGGTTGTTGACTACTGATGTCAAAAGACATGAACTATCTTTAATCATAAATTCCCCTCTTGTTTAAGCCTTATTAGTAGCATTCAAAACATGTCCAAGAGATTATTTCTTGTTCCTATAGGTTGTGGTTCCTTGAGAAACAACTCACTACAGAGTCCTGGATATCCAAACAAGTACCCAATTAATATGGATTGTGTATATCAGATTGCTATTCCTCAAGGCATGGCTATGAGAATGCATTTCGAATATTTTGAGTTGGAGGATTCGTTTGAATGCAGGTTTTCAATGTTTTAACTCGTCTGGTTGATGTAACTTTATTTAGGACCACTCGACTCTTTCAAGTCTGACTCTTTTTAGCTATAAGAAACAGTTAACGATTGGTGCCTCCGGAAACAAGAAACTTAGTTCCCCGATAATCTCTACGTTTTCCAAGGTGGAGAAGAGAGAAACATCGAAATTTAAGGCAAAATTACTACTTATTGATTGCGTGAGACAGGGGCATTTTATTATTATCATAAGGAGACTTTTGGTAATCATGAAGACTGGATTAATTTGATTCTTATTGATGAAAAAATACTTAGCAACAGAAGGTTGATGTTGATATTCATATCCTAAACATGAAACCGCTAGAGCCCTCGAAAAATGAAAGGATAGTCCCACTTCTTTAAAAAGTTTTACAAAACTTGGAAATAAGCGTGAAATTAATCCTCAGTTGCCTATGGGCTCACGCAATTACATCTACATATCGAAACTGAATTTATTGGTGAATTACATGTTATCGCATAAGAGCGCAAAATACTTCCATGCCGAAATTTTCATAATGCTAACCAAAGCGGTTCAACCTCAATTTTTCAATCAATTTTCATGTTATCCACACTTTACCTTAGTTCGTCATTTCCTCTACCTTGTTTTTCCACATCACAAAACAAAGGGGGAAATTTTTTCGAAATGTCTTTTTCAAAACTGTTATTCACATTTCCAACTGGACCATACGCAAGGTTTGTAGAAACAAATCAAATTGCTGCACAAACCGTAGCTATCCAATCGGATTTCATAATTCTTATATCTGGACAACTGTTCGGGCCATTAACGAGGATAAAAGAACTCGTCAAAGTAATAGGGAATATTTAAAACGTTAATATTTAAAATAACGAATAATTCTTTAAAGTGTATCATTTTAACTTGTCTCTATCTTACAGTTTTGACTATGTAGAGATTTCTAATTATAAGTACTGTGGAGAGATGACTGGAACAACAATTGAAATAACTGGATACTACGCCGTGATAAGATTTTATTCAGACTTCGGTGTTCAGGAGGGAGGATTCTCGCTTTTGTTCAATACTGTCTTACCAAGTGTGTAAAATGAACTTTTGTCCTTTTTAGTCATAATAAAACTAGTAGTAGTTTTCTTTATATCTACCCCCGTCTATTAATGATATAATTTTTTCCTGCCTCCTTCGGAGGTAATAAAAATTCTGGCCCAGACACCAGAGAACTGAGGAAGCATCGTAGTAGCCGCGTATAGTCGTATCGGGATATATCCACTGAAATTTTGCGCGCTTACTGGTACCGGGTAAATTCTCATTAAGATCGTTAGGTGTTATGGATAAGTTTTCCAACCACGATGTCTCTTTGGTTTCTTTCGTGTCGCTTTAAGATTATTTGCAGAGGTGAATATTGTCCTTACATCATCTTAAATGAAAAAGTCATTTAACACTACCACTTCTAGAATTATGTAAGATCACCCAATATGGTATATGAGAGGATTTCCTTCAAACCTGTCCGAATTATTTCTACAATCAAAATTTTATATCAAATTTCGAGGAAAGATGTGGTGTGAACTTGGAGGTAACGATGAAATGTATCAAATAACTGTACAGTAACAAAACAGCTTTTCAGGTGTTCTTGGGTAATTTTGGCAGGCGTGACGTAGCTGCTTTTGCTTTAGAAGTCAAAGAAGCCCCCGAAAGTAACAAACAATCTTGTTTGTCTTCGGAGCATTTGTATTGATAAAATAATGGCCATTCAATATTTGAATAATTTTTATTTTTTTAATCCAGTGCGGAGACATGATTGGAAGCATTTAGGGGCGGTTATTTACATGGGGTCCAACCCAAACCACGCTTTTAAGCAATCATTGAGCTTCAAGCTCTCTCTATAAGAGGGTTGATTTAATTAAATAAATGTTCTTCCAGTGTAAGCTTTCGGCTTTCTTGACACTGTTCGCAAAAATAAACGTTCAGATAAAAGGTTCAGCTAAATTGAGGATTTTCTAGAACGCGGTTTTGTTAAACAGTGGTTAAACGTTGTTTAACAAATCGGCCTTTAGTGTCCAGTTTCATGTTTGTTATCATAAATACCACTAGCAACAGGTGGTAACTCATCATAGTTGCTCTTCTGCATATGTTGTTGAATTGGTTTGCATGTCTTGCCTCTCAATTGAAAAGAAGCATTGACCGCTACGGGACAGCTTTTCAGAAGCATCAACTGTTACACTGCAATACGTACAATTACTGATTAGACGCTTTTAATTTCTACATTCCCTGTTGTTGCATACAGGATAGGTGTTTATCTATCTGAAAAACAACCGAATATTTTCAGGTCTTTTAAATGAATCACTTTACAAAATAAGTCGCTTAAAACAAACTTTTTCAGCTTAGAAATGGATGTGGGTTTACTAGATATTGCACAAGGAATGCTTATCCTTTTAAATGGTTATTATCATAATTATAATATTTTTGAGAAGAATTGTAACTGCGAAGACTATTGGGTCAGGTCTTAACAAATGATAGTAACAATAACAATAACAATAATGTTGATGATGATATGATAATAATAATAATAATAATAATAATAATAATAATAGTAATAATAATAGTAAAATAGCGCCATATCTATCAGCTCATAAAACTTTCGAGGGACTTTGGCTAGACTGCATTTTTTTTTAAGGAAAATTCTTGCGGACGCCCCCAATTTCGGAATGTTTTGTTTAAATAAAGTTCTTTATCGAAAAAATCTATCCGGTACAGCTTAATGAGTTTTGCTTCAAAAGATCAATGTAATATAAAATATTCATTTCTATGAATTCTGTAAGAGCAACACGAAGCGCAGACACTTCGTGGCTACAAAATTAACCATAACAGATTGCCATCCTCTTAAGTAAAAAACCCGATACCGTTAGGGTTTGGTTAGTTGTAATTGCATTAAATTATTTCTATTCAAGGTCCTCCCAATATTTCAATGCCGGTTTTTATGGAAGCCTTTCCAGGCGCACAGGTGACGTGCTCAGTGACAGGAAGTCATCCTATGTACACCACGATACTCAGTGACTCAAGAGTTCTGGTTAACACAACAAGCATGGCAACCTTTTGGTTTGAGGAGGAAGGAAACTACACCTGCATGGCAAGCAGCAAGTATGGGACTGATTTAAAAATGTTCAGTGTGATTTTCCCAGGTAGGCCTTAAACCGATAATTATACTTTTTCAATTTGCTTCACTTCAGTTAATAAATTGCCTGAGAAAACCAACGGTAGTTATTCGTTTCAAACTAAAATTTAATTCAATAATATGAATGATATGATATGACATAATTTGGTAACGTTCTGTTAAAAAGTAAAAATTGAATGATTAAATAAATGTTCTACAGTGGCGGTGTCTTGTATCTATCTTCGCATTCCCTTCAAACCCGAGATAAAATGTCAATATTTCCTTATCTAACCTCCCTGCGAGACTTCAAAGGATTTTAAGGGTAAGAGGGTTTGTAAACTTAGTGAGGTTTTCTAGTAGGTGCTAAGTCCTCCGCCACCAATTGGTTTCGACTTCAAATATACCACAGGAGAAGTATATCATGCAGGAGTGCGGCGGCTACATTTAGCAGTTTCTTTTGTAGTTACGTATACGTACCAGACGCTTGGCTAGACGATCAAGTTATTATTTTTAAGTTGCGTGTCTCTTTAGGCCGAAAAAAATTCTGAAGCTTAGAAATCGAGTTTTTCTTATAAGCAATTCTTTCTTAGTTTAAAATCTCGGCTTAACGACTTTTCAGAAGATCAAAAAGGGTAACAACGGCGGAGTCGCAATATATGTACGGAAATGTCTTGTCACGACCGTGACAAGAAGGGACGACCTTGGACAATGTCGAGGAGGTATTGTTGGAAATTTCAGAGTCGAAATCACGTAGTATTATTGTGGGTAATTTTTACAGACGAGACCGTACATCTTAAGGACTAAAGGGGGTAAGTTTATAAAGAAACTGTGGTGCTGCGTCGGTGGTGGAGTATAACTAGATAGTTTTGTTTTATCAACTGAGTTAATAATGTACATTTGCCACCATTAAGTGTTTCTAAGCTGAAGTATTGAGCGTTAGCCCTTCGTCAGAGCGAATGACAAAGAGCTAACGCTCGAAATTTCAGCTTTGAAGCTCGTTACGTACATCTTAATACTACTTTAAGGATTTTTAACTTAACAACATTTTGGTACTGCTTTTGCCGACGACAAAAAGATTCTTCTTTTGGTCGATTTTAACTGCTGTTTGATGTCCGCTCAGGGTAACAACTCCGAATATTAACAACTTAAATCGCTCTTCAAAAGCTATCAACAGTTCAGTTTGAGTCACCAAGCACTCAAAGGACCAGTTATTTAGACGAAATGTAACCAAAACCACGGCTTTACGCGATAAGTGGGCCTTGGTCTTTCTCTATTAGAGAATTACTTTATTCAAATTGATTTTCCTACACTGTTAGCTTTTAGCCCTCTTGACGCTGTTCTCAACAATTAATGGTCACATGTAAGGTACAGCTAAATTTAGAACTGTTTAAGACTCAGTTTTGTTAAAGCTCAGGTTTGTTTAAATAACCAGCCGGTCCAAATTTTTCATCGACTTGATTGCAGTTAATCGTCCTCAGAGCATCTGTAAATTTTGCGGAGACTCGACCTATTTTAGTGATCATGAACTCGTTTAAAACCCAACTGAAAGAAAGCTCCTGCAATCTGAAAACTTTCAGGGACTAGGCCAATCATAATCCGTGTGAGTTTTCAAGGACCTTGAAGGTGGTACCTGGAACTCTTTTTCTACTCCCGTTGGTTTAAATGAGCTTTGGAGTAGTTTTAAACGAGCGTTTGTCACAGTGATGACTTGCACCACTGATACTGAAACGTGTGCAGGGCGTGGACAACTGTCTTTGGATAAGCAAGGGTATCAAAGTTGTTGAGGAGTGGTGCCGATCTTAGAGCTCTGCGAAAACCATCGAGGAGTTCCTTCCTGAGGAGATTAAGGCGGCCTCCCCTAGTATTAGCGTCAATGGAACTGTGTCTTCTGAAGAGAGGTGTATAAAAAATGCTCTCAACGAGTTCTTTGCCACTGCATCCAAAAATACTGAGTCTAAATCAGTGAAGTGTCTGACGACATTTGACCTGACTCTTTTAGTTCGCTGGAGAATTTTTGAATGTTACAGGTCGCAAGACACTGAAAAATTTATTCATGACCTATCACGTAACCAACTTTGATAGGTATCCTATTTCATCGGTAGTAGTCCGGTTTTTTTCCAGCCTGAGAAATTATTTCGTTTCCTCGCTTATAAAACTTTATTTCTACCTCGGTGGACGTTAAATGGAAGTCAAAAATATTTGATAGGGACTGGTTTTTGGCTGGATAATAAGCAGCAATAAACAAATAACGGGCACCTGCTTCCGCCCCCCCCGTCACCCACCCTCCATTATCATTGTGTGCGTTATGGACGAAAAAAATCCTAACTTTCAGTTAACTGAGGTTTTAGAGTTTTAAAAATTGTACTGAACTTGGTCTGCTAGTGAAGTGGCTTAGCGTAATATTCCTTTGGCCAGCTAAGGCTTCATAACTTTGAATAATTGAATTTAGTTTATATTTGCATTTGCCACTTTGCTCTCTCACTCGTTGCTTGGCTTTGTTTTCGGCCGCTTTTTATTGAGAGTATCGTAAAGAAGAATTCCTTTGGTTTTTCTGTTACTCTTTGTACAGATTGCGGATCCACCTGTTCTTTCAGGGCTTCATGGTCTGGAAAAAGGATTGCTAACTGCATCAATGTGACGGGCCTAATTCTTACAGAATGCCTTCCAGCAACAACTGAAATACTGTAACACAATTTCACGAGATTTCCACCACAATTGATCATAGTTGTCCTCCTTGCTGTTTTTCGCGATCGAGAATTCGGATTTTCTCTACCTTGTTGATTTTGATTCTCTTTTGTATATTTTTGACAGCCTTGTGCGTTAACGAAAGTGCGCCCACTACACTATAAAACCTGGTAAACGAGTTCTGTGGCTTTTATGACGTAACCCTTTTTAACGCTTGAATATGTTGCGCGAATTTAAGAATAAGTCTTCATTGATTTGAGTACGAGGTAGGTTACAAGTGTAATACGCTTGTCTCTGTTGCGAGCTTGTAGCGATCTGTTCCGTTCATGGCTCGAAGTACGTTGCTCATCTCAGGTGTCTTACAATACGTGTGCTGCAATTGTTTGTGTTGGGCTCTTGTAATCTGTTTTATGATTAAACTTCTAGTAGTCTAGTTCCAGCTAGACTACCAGCTATTTTACTGACGATCAGATCCTTTCAAACTCCATCGGAGGGTAGTCTGCCCTCTCAAATCTTAGTTTGACTAGAGGTACTCTTTCATGTGAAGACTTCTGATAACTTTACTTTCGGTTAGTGTGAACCTAATTTTACCTCAGTATTCCATCACGATAATGTCATCTTGTCGGATGCAGTTTTTTTTTCTCCGATATTCATCATATCTGCCGTTGGGGCTAACAACATAGTTATTTGGATGCACTTTTTAATATTTGTTTTGCTATTTTTCAATGTTTCGGATAAACGATCGCCTTAAGCCAAAATAAATTTGGCTATGGGACTCAATAAAAAAGGGTGAATTTTCACATATATTGGCGGAAGCCAGGGATCAGTGAAAGAAGTTATGAAGCTTACGAATCGAAAAGAAAAAATTCTAATCAATCGAAAGGAACCTTCATTGTGTTTATAATCCTCTAGTTTTGGGCCGAATCTAGAGCACTGAGTAAGCATTTTTTATAATGGCTTCACCCAATGCATTTTGAATGATTGCTACACATGGAAAAACTTCTTTCTTGAGCGAGGAGTAGGCAAAAAGCCACCTCTATGAGATGCTTTTTTCAATAGCCATGGAAATTTTAAATAGAAATGTTAGAAATAAAGATAACAAAGCAGATAAATATCGCAATAAGCGAAAAGTGAGATGGCTATCCTTGTCCATATTATCTCCGAACGTTGCTATTAAGTCAAGGAATTGCTACCGATTTGATAGATACACGGAGCTAACAAATGATAGATTGAGTTCGCAGTGCTATGGCTTGGTCTAAAGAGACATTTATTTTAGATTTTTAGTTCAAATACGAGATGGACCTGTGTGCGCTTTGAGTATGCATATCTCGAGCAGAAAAATGCTAAAGATTCTACGCCTCTATTACAAATTCACAGATGCTTATTTTTCCAACTAAGTATGAAGGTGCGGTGTATCTATGTGGATGAACTCTTTGATGGGAAGTAGCTCAGATGCTAACAAAAACTATCGTAGACGTTAAAAATTCTCGATCGAACTCAACTGAATGACAAGAACTGGCTAATGAAATAAACGCAAATTACTGTTACATAATAGAGTAAAATACAGTCGGCAATATATTAGAGCATACAAACTTTTTCTATTAGATGGCAAAATTACAGATGATCTTGAATTCCTTGGCTCAAAGTGGCTTCTCTCATTTCTGGAAAAATGAACATCGTCAAACCATTTAAAAAAACCTTTTAAAATAATTTTCGTTCGTAGTTTCCAGGAAAGACCACCTCACTTCATTGAAGAAGTGAACACAAAGATTTTCGACTTCCGATGTTACTAAAAGCGGGAATGGAAAATGTATAATAAGGAATAGGGAATAGGGAATGGGGAATGGAAAAAATGAAATGGGAAATTGAAAATGAGAAATTAATTAATTTTCTTTTGTTCTAGATTTACTGTTTACAATAAGGGACAGATATTTTGATCGATATCCACGGTCTCTTTCACAAACGTTCAGGGGCTAAATTCAATGAACGTAATAAATTGCTGATAAGAAAGAAGTGATTTTCGAGGAAAAGATAATGTCTAAGGACAAATATACGAGCATATTTTCGCGCAAAATAGAGGCTATTGTGTTTTCTCATCCTTTACACATTT